ACAGAAAAAAAAACTTGATTTTTCTCCCTTCTGCAGATCCACCATCGCCACCATCACCTCCGTTCTTTCACCTCGGATCTTCACCATCCCCTTGCTGAGCATCTCATCATCATCACAGCCTCCACCTTCATCACCGGTAATCATCAAAGCAGAAGGGTTCGGCAGCTACCAGAAATGGGGAGAAGATGAAGCAGATCTAGCCGGTAATCACGGAAGCGAAGCATTCACTGAATCTCCAACCCACCGGCGACAGGTTGAGGAAGACGTTCGCGGCGTGCGGCGTGCGGCGTGCGGCGTGCGGCGTTCGTCGTTCATGATGAAGAAGGAGAACAGAAACAGATCTGCAATCGGAAATCCATTGTTTTTTTTTTTAGTTTGAACTTAGGTGTACCGGTCATATTTCAGTATGGTGGCCGGTACACAAAATTTTGGCCGGTACATTGGATTTTGACCGAAACGACCGAATTTTGATCAAAACGAAATTTGATGTTGTACCGTTTCGGTCAAGTGTCAAAATCGGTATACCGGTCGGTACGGTACGAGATTGACTTCTTTGTTCTAAACACTAGCCACATTGACATGTTATATGTGAACCAGTTTATTTCTTTTATTTTTGTATCTTGTCATGGGAATATAAATATTGATAAATTACGTGTTCACTAATAAGAGTTATTAAACGCTCGCATGACTTTAGAAGAGATCATTTATTCATTTTTCATACATAACATTCTATTATATTTGAAGAATTTATTATTTTACAAGTTTTCTTGTAAATATAAAATTAAAAAAGATATTATAATTTACTTTATGAGATTATCTCACGGTTTTTTTCTATCTACTATTTTAGGCAACGAGAATAAACATTTTGGGAGTCAAGGTACGTAGTGGCCTCTTATTCACAAATAGATACAGCTAACTGTACTAATTTGCAAATTCCACTCCGTGCATTCCTGGAAATTAACATAACAAAATCTGAATTTAGAGATAATTATGCACAAACAACAGAAAACAAGAGAAAAGGACCCGAGCTTGAGCAATTTCAATGAGGCACCAACAAGAGGAAGATACTCTGTAGTAGTGCATCCAAGATCAACCTGGCATCGTATCCAATCTGATTATGGACCTCCTCTGTTTCTCTCCCTCAGTTTCTCTCCCTCCTCGATGCCGATCTTCATTACTAGGGATGGCAATTTCCCCCGATCCTTACGGGAATCGGAGACAGGGTGGGGAGAAATATTCCTCCTCACGGGACGGGGATGGGGAGCATTTTCTCCCGACGAAATTTCACGGGGAATTTTTTCTGTCTCGTGGGGCCCCACAGGGATCTCCATCCCCGCAAAAATTAAAACAAATATAAATTAATTTTATTTTAAATTTAATTCATCTTTCAAACTCAAACTCAAATCCAAACCCAAACCCAAACACAAACCCAAACTCAAGGTGACTCAATTCAATCAAAATTAAACTTAACCCAATTTTACCTAACCCAATCCAACCCAAACCAACTCAATCCATAAAAATTAACCCAATTCATTCTCCTACTTACATTTAACCTTAATCCTAATTCATTTCTCAATTTTCATTTTCACCTTCCCCTCTATTGTTGGTTTAATTTTTACTTATGTTTTAGTTTAACTTTGATTAATTTTTGTTTATGTTTGAAACAAATTTGCTAATTGTTGGTTTAGTTATTTGTATTGAATTGATTTTTATTTATATTCGGACAATTTATATTTAAAAATTTTAGTTAATTGTATTTGAATTTTAGAATTTTATTTATTATAATTGAATATTAATTAATTATATGTAAAAGACAAAAAAATTTATAATTTAATATTAATTGGTGGGGAATGGGTATCCCTACGAGGAATGGGGACGAAGGGCAAAATTTGCCTCTCATAAAAAATCCCCGCAAGAATTCCCGACCTTGTCATTCATGGGAACAGAGACGAGGACGGGGAGGGACTTCCCAATCCCGTGGCGCACCGTTAACATCCCTATTCATTACTAGAACTCAAAAAAAAAAAAATAATTTGCATTAAATTACAAGCTGCTTTGAAAATAATTAGTATATTTTACACAATCATGTATAGAAGAATTAACGACATAACGACAAAATATAAGAATAAAGGTTGACATAAACCCATCCTTTACGTCTTTCATAAAGGAATTTATTTTTTTTATTTTTTATTTTTTATGAATTGCCGAAGACTACAATGACATGGAAAACAAAAAATTTTCTATCCGAAATTTCTTTCCTTTCACAGTGAACTCAAGCATGATTACCATCCCAAAAAACTCAAGGATATGTCAAGGTATTGGTGAACAATTCTAAATATAAATATGATGAACCCATAAGATTTCACAGTTTAATAAAGAGAAACTATACAAAAGATGTAATAACAGTCACAGATCCAAAAAAATAGAAATAGTAGATGATTATAA